CCAACCGAATTCGACGTAGCTTACCCGCAACAATATGAATAGTATTAACAAAAATGATATGAAATAATACCATTCCATAATATCCATTACAAAGCGAGCGTATAAAATATGCGCCCCGACAGCTGGGCGAACGACAAGTGAATAAAAATGAGGATGAAATCTAGATATCAGCGGGTTCCCGGTTTCAGTTACGATATAAAAACGAAGATAAGCGCAGCGATTAGAGCTCTGATGTATTACTACAGTTTATTCAAGGGGCTTGATATTTCTATATTTAGCTAATATCATTGTCTAGTTATCTGTGAAGCTTACCAGTTAAATCTTCTACCGGCCGCATGCTCATCAACCGAGTTGTATCTGTTTTTGCCTTAATATAACCTTTAATTAGCAACTTTGAGAGTTTGTTACCTTAGGAATTTGGCCAAGGAATCACATCAATTAGAGCTCACCAAACCAATAGCAATTGTTATGATCAGAACACAAGGCACAAGCTCCCAGTACGACCATCTTCGATACATGTTAAAAGCAAATCAAAGCAATTTCGGACAATCACTTGCATTTAAAGACTGATTGATTGTTTTTATTTAAAATTGTATCAATTTATAATATAATTAGCTCTTGTTTGAGCTGATAACGCGCATATGTGCGTAGAAAAGCTCTTTTATCTAATCTTAGCCAGGTGGGTTTGATTAAGGCCCAATCCTAATCTAAGCGATTAAAAGATAGACAAATAGCAGCTTGATGTATTTACAGAATGACTAAATATAAAAGTACACCTATCAGCTCTGATAAGCTGCGATTTGATATAGTAGTCCGATATTGATAAGAACTTGCTCATATGTAAAGAACATGCTATAGCTGGTAAATGTCAAGGTGAGTCAAGATTTCAGAAAGGAGCAACAGGAACTTTTCTCTTCTACATATTTCATCATTAAATTATGCTAATAGGAACACATTTCCTTTCTGCTAGATCTGGAAAGCTTACCCACGGGTAATGCTGCTGATCTTCCATTATTTTGTCGCCTAGAAATTCGAGCTCTTTCCTTTCTGCGCGCTTTAATAACATTGTCGAGAATCTTTAAATGAGTAAAGTATATTTCTTAAATCTTTTAAGCCAATTTGATATTAAATAAGCTTACCCAGGCTAGGAAAATGGCGATTAACAAAATGAATAAAATTGTAATCCAAGCCAATGGTTTTTCCATTAAAAAAAAAAAAACAAAAGACAAAGCGAACCAAACGAACGACAAACTGAACTGAAAATCTCACGACGACTGAATTTTCTCCTGTCTCCGACTCAAATTAAGTTTATCTCTATTTGTCTAAGAAAAAAGCTCACCATTTGTAGCTCTGGTCGCACTTCGGTTGGTTCTTTGCGGAGGCGCCTCTGCGGTTGAGTCAGCTTTTTTACAAGCTATGGCAAACAACTTGAAGAAATTCAAATGCAAATTCTTATCAGAAATTGTGCGACCCTTGACAGTTGTGTAGCTCACCCAAATTAAAAAAATTGTCACGAGGAGAATGCCGGAAATAATATCCCAAAGTTCGCCAGGCATTTCAAAGGCAGTAATATAAGTATAAGCTCAATAAAAATACAATTGAAACAAAAAAAAAACTAAGACAGCGACAAACTTCATTGACAGCCTTATGACGACTGCCTGATTAGGACGGTCGACCCACCCGTCTATCGCTTATTATTAATAATATTTCTATTATTATCTAAACGGTATGAACGGTTATTTTTTTTAGTTAATAGCTCGCTTAGCACTCTGGGCTATCTAATCTCTTTCGGGCTTATGCCCCACATGACCCAACCACCAGCTCAGTCGTATTATTCGCGCTGATCTTGACAAACGCTTTAAACTTTGAAAGAACGTCGGAACAATAATCAATGAGAAATAACTCGAGGCTTACAAAGCAGATAAAGATTTATAGTTGAAGCAATAAACATGGCACGTGTCTTTCTTTTCAAAATAAAGTTCAAATCGTTAGAAATTGGCCTTTTATATTCGGCCAATAAAACTTAGCTGCGTAATACTCGAGCTTAGCCCAATACAAGTTTAAATAGGCTACCTTCTATACAATGCATACTAGGATTAGTGCTACTATCAAAATTTAAAAAAAAGTAAAAAAAATGCTTGCTTCGATCTTAAAAAAAAGCTCGTTCAGTTCTCGATACAAAAGTTGGTTAGCAAACTGATAATGATTTAGATTTTTGCGACTTGTTTAGACGCAAGCTGTTGTAATCTTAAAACTTTATCTTAAGTGGGCATACACGAGTATTTACTCGAAGTTTCTCTTGTATTCAAAATATACTCTTTTGACGAGTCTTAAAATGTGCTAAATTTTGTTGTCGCCTTGTGAATTTATTTCTGACACTGTCTACTCATGAATCTTGCTGCTTGTATTAAGCAAAAAATGTTGTGATCCACATTGAGAAGAAAACTATTTTAATAAATTTTTTCTTAGTTTTTATGTGGTTCAAAATAGACTCTCGAATCTTTATGGAACTTGGAATTTTAATAAATTAATATTAATGCATTTTTATTATTAAATATTAATTTATAATTAATACAAGTAGTGCATATATCCAAGTCTGTTGAAGCGGATCACTATACAATAAAGTTTTCATATAAATATAAATATAAAATATATATATCTATATAAATTTTTTACTTTTAATGATATTCTCATCAATTTCAGCAATCATCTAACTTATAAGCAAAAGTCGTCATACAACAATCTATAGAAATAACCACGTGAAATGTAATTCTTAAACAAATATAAGTTGATTTTCTAAGTAAGGAAAGGGTATTTGTTCATCGACAAGCTGAAGTTGGTAGGTTTTACTGCTTTTTTTAGCAATTAAAAACTTACCACGCCTTCTATTCCTATTCGTCTTGCGCACAAATAACGTTAAGGCCTTTAAAACAGAATATTAGGTAAGTAATTCAGCGTAGAGTGTTCGCATCAAAACTTACACAGGCGTAAAAGAAAATGCTGAGTACGAAGAGGAGTAAACTAATTAACAGCGCACCTAACATTTTTGCCTATGGACTCAGTGCCAAAACAAATTAAACTGATGCAAACAAATATTTTGTCAATTTTGCTGGCACTTTGTTAATACGCTCGCAGTACGCCCTGTTGCAAATCTAATCGTATAAAAAGCCCAAACAAAACAAACAACAAATAAGAATGTAGTTGTTGTGTGTGCTTGACTAGAAAATTCCCTGTAACTCCCAGTCGTGATAATATCTTGGTTTTTTGCTTTGAATTATTTGAGTTGAAAATGAAAGTCCAGTATTGAATTCCAGAATGCTTATGCACCTACATTAAGATGCAATTATCACAATACCGGAAGTATTAAATATTTTCCATATTATTTTTTAAGAGCGACATTATAGATTATTATAGGAAACGAAGAAAGCTATCAACAAATAAAAATATTCCTACTATGCGTATACTTGGGAGCCTTCATACTAAATTAAATGTAGCTAGATTTTTTAGTTTTTGAGCTATGCTTCAAAACCCAAGGCTCAAAACCTTTTTTAATCGATATTTTTGAAAATGCGATGAGATATCAGAAGTATATATATTTCATATATCAAGTTTTCATATCAAGTCTCTACCTTCCCAGATCGACATGGATGGATAGACGAACAGGCAGTCGGACATGGCTAAATCGACTCAGCTCTTGCTCCTGATCAAAAATATATATATCTTAAACAATCAGACTTGGTTCCTTCTACCTGTTACATACATTTTCACAGAACCATACTCCCCATTTTACTAATTTGCAGGTACAGGGTATTGCAACAAGTTAATTGCATTGTGTTGAAAATAATTTGATAAATATCAATTGAGGTATCTGCTCTTACATGTTGAGAGGCACACGAAGGGGAAAGTATACCCTCTCTTTATGTCTTTGTAATATATATCCTTACTCACCCGACCTCCAAACAGACTTCCTTCGCACTAGCACTGCTAAGCCCTTCAAAACAGAATGGTTATATAAAAAAATAAATAATAATAATTGCTTGGAGCACGTGCATATGAAACTTACTAAGCAATAAATGAAGATCATGCCAATTATCAGGGCACCCCACATAGTTGTTAGTATATGTTTTTTACTCTATGCCAATACAAATGTAACTAAAACAAGAATGTTTTGTCAATATTGTTGGCACCTTTCATTTACCAGGTGTATTGCCTTATCGCAAATCTAATCACCAATATTATCATTACCTGAGTAAATCATAATCGTATTACAAACACCTACAAAAAAAGCTTTAAAAGCTCTTGAAAGCTTCGAGAATTGCAATTAATCACGCTTAAAGTTCGGCAAGTTGACACTTGTCTCTCTCTCTTTCATATTAAAGCGAAAGTAAATAAAGTTAAAGCGAAAATAAAGTGAAATATGTTCGGCATGCCGAATATTACATCAAATTGAAGACATGTTTCTTAGAAATGCTTTTGTGTAAAAGAGTTGTTTCGACAAATTTTTGCTATACTGGCCATTTGATACAATTTGTAACGGGAATAGGAAAAATAGGTTAATATATCTTAAATAAAGAAGAGAAAGTAAGAATATTTTCGCCACGTGGCAACTATTTAATATAGTGGCCCGATCTTGCCGATATATGAAGAGCATAACAAAATTAATAAATAAAAAATAAAAAGTTTTCTATACAAGAGCCTACACTTAATCAGATCGTTCCTATGACAGCTATATGATATAGTGATCCGATCCGCAGATGCTGGCATTTATACTGGGGACGATAGACTACTTGCATACAAAAAGGTATAGATAAATATCTAAATCGAGGCATATTTGATGGGTTAGGAAAACAAGATGATTAAGAATATATATACTATAGAAAATCCCTCCTTATATGAGTAACACATATACTATATACACTTTTAGGCGACCTCTCGTTTTCTAAATTACAAATTTTTTTTTTTACATATCCTCTAAGAAAAGGCTCATTGTAAGTACTTACCAGTATTCCTGCGACGGCTCGCACTTGCAACAGCCATGCACGCTATCTAAAAGAGAAAGTATTCGAATAGATAATAATAGATAACATATTTGAAATGTGCATAATTTGTACCTTTATAAATATAATAAATGCCAGTGACAGGAACAATATGCATATGTAGAGACCTGTTGCCATAATTGGCACTGCAAATGGAAACTCTTGAGCTGGCCAATCCTTTACAGCGGCAATTAGGAATCGAACTGAAGAGCTCCAAGCGAATGGGTGGCTAAAATTAAATTGGTTTTTTTTTTTTGTTTTTTTGGTATACGGAAACAAAAGGCGAACGCGATAAGCACAGACACTTTATTTTATTTTTTTTTATTTATCATTTTAATCGTACACAATTGAGTCTTATCGGTTAAATTAGTTATAACGCAATCCCCATCTTTGACAGCTCTAAAATTATTGCCGGAGGTATGTATTTTTTAATTAAACGCAACTTTTTGCTTTAATTGAAATGCTCACTGTAAAAGGTCACAATTTTGTTAACAGACAACATATATACACAATTCAAGTTCAGAGCAAAAACAACAACAACAATTGACCTATTTAATAAACCAAAAGCAATTACAGTGAGCTCCGCAAATAATTATGGGGCAGCTGAAAAACCTACTGAAATGGTAATGTGATGAATAATAGCTGCTTGGGAGAGTCTGTGGAGGGCTCCACCCCCTGGCCGAAAATAAAAAAAAAAAAAATGAAAAATACAATGGAATTTGTAACAAAATGCGAATTTCTTGCAGTTGTTTACAAATCGTCAATGGAACGCACGGATTTATGGGCAGACAGACAGACAGACGGAGAGACTGAGAGACAGGCCGAACGACGCCTTGAACTGAAATTAATTAGACCGCATAGCATACAGCATACAGCTCAGCATTTCTTTTGTTGGCCACACCAATTGGCAACGCCTCACAATCTGCCATTAAGCAGCCAGTCAGCCAGCCAGCCAAGCAGCCAGCCATGCCCAATCCGCTGGAGGTGATATCAGCCCATTCACAATGCGACGACAAGGCGCACGCTTCACGGCTTTCAACAGCCCGCAAATAATATGTATAAATCCCTTGGCGTTGCAATCGATTTTCAATTGTATAATAATGAAAATAATAAACGGACATGAGGTATAGGAAGCTATAGAGAAGAAAGCAATCATAGCTACAGGCACAAAAAAGTACATAATACACAGTTTGACAAAGATCATAGCCAGCATCGAGATGTCAGCTGTGGATAGTTCAGATCAAGACTATAAACAACCTACTTGTATTAGTATCTTATTTAAATGCTTAATCAAGGGGTTCTATAACAGCTGTGGCGGATCTGTAATATTATGAAAATCATATATGAAGACAACATAGTTAAACAAAATCGCGAGATTAGTCTAGCTGTGGTTAGATCAATCTTAACTCAAAAGCTCAACAAGCTAGATCTTTTTAAATTTAAAGATCAAGTCTGGATCTCTAAAAATATAAAGATACCAAAAATCGCCAAATAACGAGCTCAGAGCTGGCTCAAGGGTTCAGCTGTGGAGAGTTTAGTTTAAAAACAAAATCATTGATCAAAGCATAAAGCAATTGCGATATATTTCAAGGGGACTTCAGCCGTAGTTGCATCACTTATAATATGGTAAAGATCATATTTGAAGACAATATAGCTCAAAAAAATCTCGGTACAGCGAGCTTAAGGCTAGCTCAAGGAATGAGAGCTCAGCTTCAACACAAGATCAAGATCAAGATCAAAGCTGAAAAATGTCTGGCATAAGGTAAAGATCATATATGAAGACAACATAGATCAGCAAAATTGCGAAATAGTTCATAAAGCAAGATCTATTGAAATCTGCCCTTAGAGCTAGTTCAAGGATCAAATTTAGTACAATATTATTGATGAAGCTAACTTAGAGAGAAGGATCATGATTATAGCTAAGAAACAGCAAAAAGGATAATAGTTGTTAAGCTAGATCACAGTTTTATTTAACTCTTAATCCTTATCCCTGTTTTAAAGCCAGTTCAAGTAATCGGATCATATTCAGATCATTCAGAGGTTAAAATAAATCTATGAATAATGAGCTCTGTTTAAATTTAAATCTAATAATTCCTGTTAAAATAAAAATAAGATAATGTCGGGTGATGGATTGCCAGGATTGCAGGATTGCAACTTCATTAAATTTAATCAAACAAATAATTATGCTTTAATCTGAACTCTTAACATGCTCTAAGCGAGCAGATAAGTCTTATATCATTGTCAAACTATTTGCTAGACCTTTATCAAATAATAAATGCTAAAGCTCATGGCTCGATTTGAATCTCTAAATCACTTCCTTCCGGCCCAGCTGATAATTATGTGTGAGTCCTTGCACCGTTAACCGCCCGCTGCCCCGCCCTCAATGTCAAGTTCAGGCCATTTCCGTAAGACCGAATATTGCACTGATTTTCATGAGCCAAAGCCCAATCTTGATAGTCTCTTGGTCTCTCGGCTGACTTGTATAAAATAAACTTACAAATCATGCGGCTCACAAGTTCCGGCTGTTGTGTTTTTACGCTCTTTAAGCTGATCCATTGTCAGACAATGTGAAATGAAAAGTCGCCACAGCTTGGTGGGCGAGCTGTCAGCTGCGAATCTCTTTAATTATCACAAAGCAACAAATCAAGACCCGAAACACACACCCAGCATAACTGGCACAAATTAGACAAGAAAATTACTTAATCTAAGCGCTAACTGCGTATGAGCAGGCAATCTAATTAGCTGACAGCGCCCAGAACCTCCGATTCTTGGCAATGTAATTAATTTCAATTCGCCATTCATCGTGGATCAGCCTTGAACTTCAGATTTGTAGCCACGGGCGCATTTATTAGAACGTTCACAGATCTCTCTCGAACTGTTTCGTGTGTTACTTTCGCTTTTTATGCCGCAATAATAATAAAAGAAACAACAGATGTTAAATCATATTCGTAATTCTTGTGAAACACTCAAATACCGGGCCCATCTAAAAGGAAAGGCGCTGATATAATGATATAACACATTCACGCATTGTCTTTATTTATTTTTTGCTTGCTGGGCGAACTGGAGCATTGCGACTAATTAGCTAATAAACAAAACATTGGTGAACAAATTTCTCTCTCTGTGCTCGCTCTTGGCTCAGTTAATCAATGTGAACAGATCTGAGTGTTTGGCTTTGAAAGCCGAATCATAGCTTTAAGATTTTTGCTTAAATTATTATAATTAAAATGTTATACTTAATTGTTAACATGTCTGTTGCTCTCAACATGTTGTCTTTAACAATTAATGATAACATTGTGCTCTTAACGTTCTCTGTTTGATGAATATTATAAAATGTCTGGAAGATTTTCAACAACTATACAAATTGTACGTTAACAATTGGGTATATTTTTGAGTATTGCAATTATCGGCAGATTTGTTGTCTAATTGTTACTGTTGCAACTGAACAAAAAATCAATAATTGTCTATATATATATATATTTTTTAAGCACAATCACATAGCGAAACATATTATTTTATTTGTATAGTTATCTGATTCCAGTATGCCAACAACAATAAAAATATCTTTTTATATTTATATGTTTGCAAGCATTATGCCTCTTTTGCACGAAAAACTGTTTAACATAACAAACATATGTTACCAGTATAGCATATGTATGTTATGTTAAGCACACATAACAGCGTAATGTTAAATGTTACCAGCCGCAAAAGAAATGAAATTGTTGATGCAACTCAAACCGTTTCCAGTTTTGTTAGAGTACAAAAGCTGCGACTCGCTGCACATAGACGTGCCGCATTTATGCATTTGTTATTATGACCATAATTTCGAATTGAACCTGACCGTCTGAGCACCTGAATAGCTGAGCACCTGAGCACCTTAGCCAACCGCAGTCGTTGTGTGACAATCAACAACAACTTCCTCGAAAACAAGCCACCGTTTAGGCCCGTCTTTGAGCAGCTGCCACAATCGCAATGTTGGCCACTTGGGTGAAATTTTGTTTTATTTCTTTTATTTCTACTTTTTGCCAAGCTTTTATGACTGGCATTATGGGCTGAAAAGAAAAGGAAAATAAAAACGCTTGGCCTGGGCAAACTTGAATGTAAATCTGAGTTCATTTTTGCTGCATTTTGGCAATGCACCAAAATTCAAACAATAATGCTGACTAATCAATGGAAGTCAGGTGAACACATATTAATTATGCATGATAATTGAGCCAAAGGGAAACACGACGACAACAACAACAATAAGCTGGGAACTATTTTGATTGGCTGCAATTATAATTTGCTGAATCAAGTCGTGAATTTCGATGCGGTTGCCGCCCTGCGATTCACCACTCAACTTTTATTTTATTACAAATATATATATGTATATACTTATAGTGGAAATGTGCAGTAAAAAGAAAAAAAGAAAAGCTAGCGAAATTATGTGAACTTGTTATATCACCTGGCAGCAGGCAAAACACAGGCCAAGCAACAATCAAAGCAAAAGCTGACGGCAAACACTTTTCAAATATTACAACAACAACTGCACTTTCTTTGCGTTACGCTTCTTTGCATAGCCTCGTGCATTGCCAAATCATTTATAAAAGTATATCTAATAAATATATATAAGTATACATATATATATCTATATATCTCTCTATCTCTTTATCTACAAGCCTGCAGCTGCGGTCAGTGTCCATGTCTAGACATTGAACGCAAAGCCAATTGAAATGAAATGCTTGAATGCTGCTGCCCAAGAGACGCTGCCAGATTTCAGTTGCAGCCAAATCTTGTGGCAAGTGCAGTGCGACGACAAAAGTTCAACAGACGAGGCAACAACTGCCCCTGCCACCCGCCTGCTGCCTCCTCTCACATTTTAGGCGTTGCAGCAATTGTAAATTAATTCATATTAGCAAAACAAATGCGAGGCTTCACTGTAACTGTGTGTGTGTGTGTGTGCACTGCCTACACCTATGTATCGCGTGTGTGTGTAGCTTAGCTTTTAGCATTTCATTGGCGATGAGTTGCTGTGCAGGTTTCGCGGTCTGTGGGAGCATCGTTGGAAAACCGGCGCAAATTATATTCAAGAAAACAAAATATAGAAAAAAAAAATCAAGAAATACAAAACAACAACAACAGCCATATGTAAATGCAGCTATATAAAAAGTCGCGTCGCGGCGCATCGCGAAGGCTGAGAAAATCAACACAGCACAAATGTTAATTACGAGAATATCTTTTAACTAGCCAAGC